CAGATCTTTCAGCATCTCCATTAAAATCCGCCTGATCTCGTCTTATTCAAAATCAAATTCAAATTCAAAGCTCATTGTCACGTTTCTCTATCGCATCTACCAAATTCATATTTAAATTTTCCCATCCACACAGGCAAATCAATTTCTTAGGCGTAAAACGCGATCATCAGTAATTACGTCAGAGGTCGGAAAGCTATATATATACATACATACACATTAATACACACAAAAACCGAATCGAAAGAGGAGGCCAAAAAAATAAAAGCGAATGGGGGAAATCAAAAACAAAAATTCATAAATGAGAGCGACGGAATGGTGGCGCTCTATCGCCTTCATATACTATTTTTTGGCATATTCATAACATTTGGCTTATCTTAAAAATACGAGAGCGTCGCACCAATACAACTATATACGAATAAGAGGAAGAAAAGTCCGAACAATACTAACCAAAAAATAAAAATACTCAACAAATTTTCATAGATTTCTTTCTGTGCCTAATTAATTTCGCTGGCGAAAACTTATTTATGTTTACATATTTTCCTCAACGTTTTCATGATGAACCCCCGAAAATAGACGAAACGAGAATTTTGTGAGAGAATAATATTATTAAATTCCTCAAAGATTCAGCAAAGAGAATCGAGTTAATCTTTGAACTAATTTGTCTTCACATAATCACATTCTCACACACAGTCCATGGCTCTCCCTCTCTCTTTCCCAAGCGAAAGGTTAAACAATCAATTTCGCCTTCAATTGATCTCAATTTGTGCTTCAGTTGTGGGCCAACCCAAGGGCCAGTCAAGGGTTAAAGATGCCGACGTTATATTTTAAGCATTATGCAAAAAAAAAGCGTAAAAACTTTGTCTCTTGGCCACAAAAACACGAAAAGTAATTTATTTTTGGACTGCAAGAGTGCGCCTTTCCAAAAAAAACAAATTGCTGCCAAAAAAATGGGGGGGGATATTTCAGGGGGAGGTAGTGGTAGTGGATGCACAGCTGCAGATACATCCAAAAGATACATCCAAAATGTGCGGCAGCTGTCGCTTGTTATGGGAGATGCCTTAGATACTCAGATATTCGGATACTCTGAGGTACAACAACAACAACAACAGCAGCTCACGAAACACGTTCAAAATTTCTTTTTCAACTCTTCGTGTTGTTGTTGTTGTTGCTGTTGCTTTGGCATGTGCTAAGAGAATTATGTTAGGGTGTGCCAACTGTATAAATTTAGGAAGCTGCACTTGCCCAATTGGGTGTGAAATAATTTGTGGCTGTTTTGTTTTTCATATTGAAATTACTTGAGAGAGTTTATAGTGATACTTAAGGTTTTTGGTAATGGAAACCACTATAAAATGTGTTACAGGAAAACGCAATGAAAAGTGTGGGAAAAGGTGAGTAAAAAAGGGGAACTAACAAGTTATTATTAGAAAACCATTTTAGGTAAATATATTAAACGAAATCCATCTAAGCTTTATATAAAGTACTAAAAATGTATTGATCTTTGCCTTTTTTTTACGCCATCTACCTTATAAATTTCCAGCTCCAGCTAACCTGAGTCACCCTATGCCTACGATTCTCCCAATACCAAGAAACAACAACCACATACAGATATTTGTTTTGTGTTTTCTTCTTTCTTTTTCGACTTGTTCGCTGCCTCTGTCGACGTCGCCGTCGCAGCTGCTCTGCGCTTATTGAAAAAGCCAAAAACAAAAACGCCTGACGAAGAAAAAGTTTTCGATATTTTTAGAAGAAAAAAAAAAGATATGAGCACATGTTTCAAAATATCAAAAAAGATGAAAACTAGAATGAACCAGAGGAAATGGCTAAACAAAACTAAGATCTGAAAAAATCTTTGAAAAGGAAATGGAAATTGTTTATAGGAATGCAAAAAACAAAAAGGCAGGAGAGATATAAAGCAGAATCCAAATTGGGATGTGGAAATTTCTATAGATTTTTCAACATTACTGGAAAAGTTTCTGTTTATGGTTTTGCTGTTTTTAAGTTTTAATATTTTTGAACTTCAAAAGTTGCAATTTTTATGTTTCTTTCTATTACCCTTATATAAACCTTATTTTTATAACAAAAATAATCAAACATGACTCAGGAGGTAAAGTAAAGTTATAAAGCAGAAAACCAATCATTTCCAAAAGATGTATGTTCCAGCATTAAACAAAAAGTTCGTTTTATTCGCAATTCTTATAGTTTTACTTTCATTAATCATGAAAAATATAAATACTTTAAAGACTTTTTCAGATTTAAACCATTTTTTTATGAAATAAAAATAACTTACAAAACAGAAAACCAATAGTTTCCTGAAAGTGTTCCCTAGTACTAATGAACAAGCATTTTCACATAAACAAATCGCATTGTTATGAGCTCTCTAGTACTCTTAAGGTCAGACCTTTTCATACCTTTCGTTTGAACTCTGACACCTTTTGGAGTGCTGTCATCTGGCATCAAAACTTATATCGCGAGCCGAACAAACAAACAAACAAAACAAACTACAGTGATGTTTCCACACTTTCGACAACCGAAAGAGGGTGTTCCTATCGATATTTACGACCTATTGAGAAGAGCTTAAAGCACAGAAACACTCGTATTACAAGTCAAACTCACACATATTTCTGCCAAGCGACTTTTCTTCTTTTTTTTTTTTTTTGGTTGTATTGCGGAATGACTTTTGGCGAAAAATCGAATCGATTAGTCATGCCAAAAGTCCTCAAGTTTGCAACCCAATCCAATCCCCTTCGAAAACCGTCTTCTTTTACAGCCTTTCATGGCGTTTTTTAGTTTTTTCGGTTCGAGTCTTGATTTTTCGAGTGGCGGAGAAAAAGTGAATGACTTGTCAGAGTTTATTGAACAAATGGACAGAAATAACAATTCATTTTGGCATTTTCCAAGCGATTTCTTTGACTCATATTTTTGTAGCAACACATTTTTGACACTTTTGTCGATGATGATGGAAAAACCAAAAAAAGAAAAAGTGTTTTTGTTTTAGATATTTGCCAGCGGGGGCAGAGCTAATTCAATTTGCATATCTCATATAGCTGAAGGAAAAGCTGAAACAAATCGGAAAAATTATAATAACAATCTTTTTTGTTTTGTATTTTTCGCAACTGAAACTGAAACTCGGGGCAGAAATAAACATAAATTTAATGGTTACGACTTGGCAAGAGCAAGGGGTGTGGGTTTTTTTTCTCCAATTTTTTTTTGGTGGAGAACCACATAAAAAACGTGACTTTTCGTTAAAATAAACTCTATGTATTTGCATTTGCGGGTACAGTGCGTTTCAGGGCTTACATTTCAGTTAGTTGTTCAAAAATATCGATTTAAAGCCATCATTTTGGTGATAGAACAAGTTCCAATTTCGTTTAACAAAGTAATCACATTAAATTTAAGAACCATGTCTGTTTTTCTCTTTTAACTTAAGCTTGCAAAACAACTTTGTTAACTCATTAATTCAATTATTGTTATGGTCACGTGTGTTCTTGGTTTAACAACCGCCTTACAGTGCTGAAACGTAGTGTTAAAAATCGCTTGGCTTAGATCTGTTAGCTTTATTTAATGGCCTAGGCCTTGCTCGGCATTAGAATAAAAATAGCTAAATTTGCATTACATTTCAGCACGATTTTTAGTAATGTATTTTCTGTATTAATTAACTCCCCAACTAACATAAATCCATGTCTAGTTTTTAAGGGTTAAGGCACACATCATTTTGTGCCCAATAATGTGGAATAACCATTCCCATTTTCACTCTCACAAATTTGGTTGGCAATTTGTTGAATTTTAATTATTATTTCACAGTTCATTAGCCTCGATTTCAATTTGATTTTCGGTCATTAAGCTTTCCAGCGAGCCAAATGAACGAGATTTACTTAATTCGAATGGAATTAAGTATTTTTTAATTGAAGTTGGGTGAAAGATTGGGGATTTTATGGCTATGGTAAGTTTAAGACTGAATTTATATTATTGTGGAGTTTTATTGTATTTTTTAATAATATACCTCTTTTTGTGGAGATCAAGAAAAGTTCAATTTCTTCTGATTATTAAGTAACTGTTCCTTTTCTAGCCTTTTAAACTGCAATAACTTTGATTAGATATTAAAACACTCCATAACTTTTTTTCTACTATAACTTTAACTTTTGGCACGTCATTCTTAGAGATGGTTCTATTCTAGTTTCTACTAATTAATCAACTCCTTAATATCGATGTTTCCTCGCAACTCTAAGAAAAAAATAGCACACTAAAAAATATGACCAGGATAGGTTTTTATAAAAAGTTTTACAACACTAAGCTTTTAAGAGTAAATTAGCATTTAAAAATGAGAGGTTAATATTATTAATAATCTGTGAATATTTTAAAAAATAAATTAAACTTGAAAAACAGCAGTTTTCTACATGAAATTCAATAATTGTATTTAACTTAAGCAGCAGTTTTCTATGCCTTTTCTTTATGAAAATTTTATAAAACTTCAAAAATTATATTAGCTTTTTTTCATAGGAAGAACATTCTCAGAAAAACTTTTTCCCACACATTCTTGCCATTAACTTTCCCTACAATAGTTAGTTTAAGTCTTTCCCTAAACATAAAACACAATTTTTCCGCATTTTCACTTAGCACCACCGAAAATTCGACAACAAAAACAAACAAAACCACAAAATGTGGCCGAAGACGACTAAGAAGAAGAAGAAGTAGAAGAAACCGATAAATACAACATAAAAAAAAACTTAAACTCAAGACGGAGGCAAAAAAAAGAGAGAAAACAAAATAACCAAAACAGAGTAGAGAAGTGAGATGGAAAAAACAACGATCTTTTTCGTTTTTTTTTTGTATAAACACCTTCGGTAGTCCAGCTGACTTGTTGTTGTTATAGTTGTTGTTGCTGGCAAAGTTGAAGTTGCTGTTGTAGTTGTTGGAAAAAGCGGCTGCTGTTTTTCGTTTCGTTTCTTGTATTTGTTTATTGTTTTACTCTTAACGCCGATGGTGAAAAATGTATTTTTAACCTTTTTTTTCTCTCCTTTCGTTGCACTGGTGTGTGTGTAACTAAACACGCGTTTTGTTGTTATCGCTGCTGTTGTCGTTGTTGCTGTTGCTGTTGTGCTTTTTGTTGCTTTGCGGCACGACGTGACGTCATTAAGTTGCCGGCAAAAAACAATGGACTTAGCGATTTTTCCGGACAATTTCCCTGCAGCGCTTGCACTATTTTTCTTCAATTTTCTTCCACGACTTTCGACAACTTGAATTTAATTTTTTTTGCCTTTTTTTTTGTGATCTGTCACACACAGACTGACACACACACACACTCTCTGTTATTTGGCAGCATACACTCACACACGTGCACTCGCGTTGTTGTTTTTATTTTCACGTTAAATTTTGACGAAAATACTTTCCGCGTTTTTAGAGTTGTTGCCAAAAAATTATTATTTTTACGTTTATGACGGCGTTGGCAGAAAAATTATTAAATTAATTTTTCGTTGACTTTGCAGAAATTATTGTTGTGTTTTTTTTTTAGCTGAGAGCTGCTATTTTATTAGAGGGGATTTTCTTCAGTTTTCTTCAGGCAGGCTCTGCAATATGTTTTTCACTTTTCCGCTGACAGAACCGCTTCCATCGAAAATTTTTTGAAAACTACGAAAGAAATAATTCCATCGCCAGTGAAGATACAGAAACACTCGGCGAATTCTCTCGCTCTCTCTCTGTGGCTCTCCTCTCTCTGGCGCTCTTTCGGCGTCGCTGTTGAAAACTGAAAGCAGACATATTTCTGGCGATTCCAATTCGACAGGCTACTAAGAGTGGCTCTCGGCTCTCTTGGCTTACTCATGTGTATTGCTTCTCATTCGCACGCTGCGGCAAGACAACACTTGCTCTCTCACTCTGTCAGGCTCTCTTGTACGCTTATTGGATTATTTCAATTGGAGTTTTTGCCTGAAGAGTTTTGGTTTTAAGAGTGCATTTTTTCTTAAGAGAAAGAAGCAAAGTTTTTGAGTGACTTTGTGGGGACTTTTCTTGGCAAGTGGGCAGCGGAGCAGTGGGTGGTTGGGGGGTTACCGAGTTCAATGAAGGCGAGTCGAGTTGACAATCAACTAAAAGGTTAACTGGCCAAAAGTAGACAGACTTTAGCTCTTTGGCGTAGGTTGCGGACTATCAAATAGCCTGGCAACTAAAATTAAACTTTATTTTTGCATTTTGCTGACTAAGTTTATAAAAGAAACCTGATAATTGATGTTTTTTGGCAAGCTAAATACGTATATATATCATATGGCTAAGCTCATAAATACATTTGTCAATTAATTAATATGATAAGTTAGTTAAGTTATAATTTTTTCTAGAAATTTGGCATTTTTACAGAAGTAAGCTGAGTTAACACCTTTTTTTTTAGCTTTTTAGTCACTAAGTTTAAAAACCAGTTAATAAAGATTTTAATTTTAAAACATGCCTGTGCTTAACTTTTATATTAATTGCTTCAATTTGTGTTTTTAATTGGCCTCATGTGTTAGCTTTATCATTTTGTTGTTAGCTTTTTGGGAGTTTCGCTTTTTAATTACCTTTAAATTAATTAATATGTGATTTTACCAAATTTGCATATTTTTAATGATTTTATTTTTGTGATTTGGATTTTATATAGAAGTTTATTTTATGTTTCTATAAGTAATATTAGTTGATATTTTAATCCTGGAAAGAAATCCACTTTTTGTTAAATAAAGATTTTATTTTCCGTTCCGTAAGTTTCCGTTTAAACTAAGTGATAAATTATTTTTCTAAAATTAGTGATAAAATAAATAAATTATTTATTTAGCAATGAGCCATATTTTTTATTTTTGCTTTTTAAAAATGTATGTTAATACAAATTATAAATTTAGGACCTAAGGAGTACTAAAATTTAGTTTTAGTTCTATTTATTTCCCCTTCTAATGCACTACAACTGAAGGCCAAAAATAAATATAAATATTTTCTAAAATCCATTAAGTTCAAACTTATTTTTCACAAAAATATCCACGATTTAGTTTTTCAAAAATGGCTTTTAAAATTAATGTTCCGCCCGCACTGCAGGTTTCCATTTCGATTCTTGCCTAAGGACAGAAACTTAGTGAATTGGAACTTTGCTCGCTCTGTGAAAGTCACCTTCAGCAATGTGTTCGATATGTTCTAAATCATTTACGTAAATGCAGCCCATCCATAACGGTATAGCTATAGATCCCAAATGCAGGCCCAACGTGGCTCGAAATAGAAAAATGTAACACACACACACACATACAGAGAGAGAGACTGGCACTCTTGACATTTCTATGTCATAAATTTTTGGTTTCGTTCTTTGGATTTTTTGGCAGCCAAAAGGCGATCCCAAACGACGCTCCCCCCCACACAGGGCAATTAAAATATGTGTGGAAAGGGCATACTTTGTTGCACAGTGTAGGTTAATTGTAATAAAAAGTGAATGTAAAACCGATTGCAAGAACGAGAAATGAACTCGAAGGAGAACCGGCATGTGAAAGCCAGAAAAAAAAGAGAGAGCGACCCGACCAGATCGAGAAACGCCCCCGCAATGATTTTCAGCTCCACTATATAGTGGATGTAACCCCTCCCCTCGACCCCTAGCCATTCGCTTTTCCATTTCGGCTTATTATTAGAAGTCCTTCGGTGTTTGTGTGAGTTCACTATTTTTAAACGTTTTCAAATTGGAGTCTTTGTTAGTGACCCCAAAGTGAAATACAGATCGGTAATGTAGGCAGGAGCCTCGGGGGCAAGTGAAAGGTTTTTCTTTTCCAGTCTGGTCTGGCAAATTATGCAAAATGAATTACATGGACTTAACAATGAACGTAGTGAAGGAGTGGTAAACATGGCCAAAACAAATAATGAGTTATGTTTACTAATGATAGAGCCAGATCAAGATATGCGGTCATGCAATTTGGAGTGAGCCAAATTGTTGCCAAAATATGTAATTATGGAAATCGGATATTGGGATTGAGATATTAACGGAGATCAAGTAAAGAGAGTTTAGAGTTTAAAGTTGGTAATAAAGGGGTTACTTTAGGGGAGTGTCCTTAAACGCTAATAAATGTTATTAGTTTTTAAGATAGTCTTTAAGTTGCAGCTAGGAAAGAAAGTAGGGGATATCTTAATTGTACTTGTAATAGGATAAGCTAATATCTGCCATTCCTTCATCTCCTATCTTTAATATTGTAAGCTAACATCCTATTTTTTCCTTAAAAAAACACTCAATTCCATTAAAATTAACCCCACAAATCCTTCTACCTAAGCGCACTTCCATAATTATTTCCATACTAATGAACCGGCTAAGTAATAATCATTAAAAATAGTATTTACTAGATCCATAGATCATCGTATTTATAGAAGATATTATCGGCAGATGACATCTCTCTTCTCGTTGCCCAAAACGCCCACCGCAGCATCTTGAAAACATCATTAACAACACATTTACCGCCGCTGCCTCTGCCTCGGCTGCCTCTGCCTTTGCTGTATCTTCGCTGCAGCCGCCTTTCAAATGTGGGCAGCGCTTGGCTCTGCTACGGTTTCGGATACGAATTGGGATTCAGATACAGATACAAACACAGATACAGTTACAGATACAAATACTAGCACGCTGGCCGAAAGATACGAATACTCGTAGGAGCGAAACCGGTTCCGGGCAAAATCAAAAGTTGCGCAGACGTCGCCGACTCAGCTGCTCCGCTGACCAAGCTGGAGTTTTGGGAGTCGAGGGACTGGAAGCTGTGAGCGGTCAGGGGCGGGCGACTACTTGGAGTGCTAAAGTACACAAAAGCAAAGTTTTCGAGATCGCTGCACTGGGCGAAATGTCTGAGGGGTTTTTTGGTAAAAGGAAATCTTAAAAATGTAACTAAAATGTGCAAAATGAAAAACGCTTTTACTATGACTTCTTAAAAAACCAAAAGCTTCGATTTCGGAGTAGACTTTTCCCCTCAGTGTAGATGCTGTAACTCCTATTAAGACAACCCACCCCCTTTTCTCTCAGTGCCTCGCTCTGTCCGTGAAGTTGTGTAGGTAAATCACTTTGGGGAGCCGGCATCGAAACGGGTTTACCTCTCGTTTGTGCTACACCTTTTGCGCCTGTTCCTTGTTCCGATCCCCATTCGAGAACGTGTTTCAAGGCTTTTTTCCAAACGGGGTGTGTAACCAGTAGCAAAAGAAAACCCAAGCAGGGAGAAAAAGGAGGTCGCCAAATGGAAAGATCGCGGCCAAACAAAAGGCTATGTACGAGTACATCGGGCAAAAGGGATTGGTCCGATATCAAGGAGGGACTGAAGAAAGAGGGAGAAGGAGGTGCTGTAATTGCTGAAAGAAAGAGCGCGGGCATGTGCAGTAATAAGTCCCACCCTAATCTAATTAGAAATAACGGCAAGAACAAGACGATTATTTCTGCGCACGCGATCGCCAGAGACCGGCTAATGCATATAAATTGGCATAAATAAAGCAAAAGTCACGTCGATCCGTGTCCAAAAACCGAAGGCGCAAACCAGTTTTAAATTCCAGATCAGATCATCGCAATGACGTAGTCTCCCCCGCGACTTCTTAACTCTCCGATTTATATTGCAACCTGAGTCAGCTTCTTCTCGCTGCTCTTAACAAACTCCCAAAGAGCGGGATCAAGAATCTATATATGTATGTGCGTGGGCGCCCCGCGAAAAAGTTGACTCACTCACTCGGAATTCCCTCCTCAGAAAGTTCCCCAATAGATCGCTCGAAACTCAATAGTATTCTCAAGCCTCGGGGGTTGCTCTTGAGTGGAATGAGTGTTCCGAGTTTGAGTGATTTTACTTGGTTAACCCATCCGTAAACGACTCAGCGCCAGATTGTCTCGAGCAAAGTGTTCCCAGTTTTTATGGGGGTTGCAATGGAATTTCCGAGTGGTTTTTGTGGCTACTAAACAGCTCATTGAGTTATGGAATTCGTAAATATAATTATTGTTGATCGAATATACAATTTATTGTTTTTTTTTTAAACTCATTTAATTACATTTTTAAATTAAAAAAAAAAGTAAGAAACTTAAATAAATTCTCCGATTTTCTTATCATTTTTTTGCTTGCAACTTTCCAAGATTGCGATTAGAACTTGGCTGTAATTCTAACAGATCTTGGACTAGTAACAAGATTTTTTGGGCAAATTTCTTTTAACTTTACTTTATATCATTCTTTTCTTATTTTCTTTCTTCCCTAACTCCTTTTCTATTTTATGTTTTTCCTCTATCAAGCCCACACCTTCCTTTCCTATCGCTGCCTGCATTCGAATTCAAATTAAGCAAATTACCGAAAATTTCGTTTGTTTGGCTCTCCAATTTTCCCTCCTCCCCCCTTTAACCTGCCACGCCACCACCTTGTTCTTCTTCTTCGCTTAATTACTTACAACTAACTGCAGGGTGAAAAGTTTGCACAGCCCACCCACCCATCCATCCGAACAGCCACCCAACGCTGCTACTTGCATTGCAATTGAAACCAAAGTTACAATCGCATATCAAGCCCTAAGACAAAAGGCAAACATGCTTGGCTGAATTTCCCCCCCAAAAAAGTGGGCGTGGGGCGTGGCAGCCAGACTGCATAGTCGAAGAAATTACGCTGATTGAACACTAATTTATTTGTTTGTTTGTTTTAACATTTTCGCCG